AAAAAAAGAAAGAAACAAGAGAAGCCAAGATTTCTTGCAGACCCTAAACCTCTTAAAAGGTTCAGATTCTTAGAGGCAAGATTCTTCAAGGAAAGAGAATAAGAGTGCAAAAGTGGGGCCGTAGTCTGTGAAGCAGAAGTGAACTTGTGCTCAAGGTCTATTTTCTTCTCAAAGTTCAGTAGCAGCATAAAGTGCCTGTAGAACATTTGAAAACTGATATAATCTAAGTGAGGTTGGATACATAACTGTGGTGATAGTTGCTCCTGAGGGGCCCATTCCTACAGTCCTTACTCATGTGAATTGTCCCTTGGATGCTAATAGGAATACTCTTGTAAATCAAGGATGCCATATCAGCCCAATGCCCAGGGTTATTCTGATCATGAAGAGCTGGATCTTGCAAACCTCATTCATGTGAGCAACCCTTTCTCATGACAATTTTCCCATCGACTTGAAGAACTATCCATGTAGCCAGAGACAGTGGAACCAGGACATAAGTTTAGGGTCAGCATAAAAGTAGGAATAAAATAGTTTTTCATTTAACCTCCAGCAAGGAATAGATACTCCTCAAGAAGGCCAGATAAGTGCAGTCATTCTCGTGCAAAAGAGAGGTGTGTATTGATCAGACTTGTTCTGTCCTCTCTCCTTCTYTGGCTCAATTTATTCACCATAATTAGAGGGGTTAAGAGAGTACCAACACTGTTTTCACCACACCTCAAGCCTTAGTTCACCACTCACTTGATAATATAAATTWGTTGTTTCTTCAAGGAAAAATGGCAAATTATGCCTCCTTCATGAAACCAGTGCTTTTCAAAGTAAAACAAATCATGAACTCCAGGATTCAGTCCATATTTTAAATTAAAATTTGAAATGCCRTGTAAATACCACAAGAAAAGTGTTATAAAAATGTTTAGCATGACGGACTAGAGTCAGTTTTTGTGCTACTCTATTAAAATTTCCACCTTCTGGTTAGGAAGCAGGTTCACTATACAAATATCAACACTTATGTAATTTCACTGTGATTCACACACTTCTTCATAAGATCTCAAGCTGCTGTCTGGTTTCTCCAAGGAACTGCTTCAAAAACAGCAAGAAAGGGCTGTTGTTTCTTTGGGAATTCTTCCTGCTGGATATAGCTCAGTGAAGGCTTCTTTGGCATTAGTTGCCTTTTGGTTGAGTTTCCAACACTGAAAGAGCAGTGTCCATCCATCTGTCTCTTTTATCCATGCCACTATTTMGAGGACAACAGTTCTCAGTATTGGAATTTGCCATTTTTTTCAGAATTCCAGATGCTCATCTGTGAGACAGAAACAATAGTAAATGATTGAAGTGACCAGTCAGAGTGGGTGGTGACCAACAAGCAGTGAGAGAAAAGGATACAAACTCCACAGAGCACAGGAGTGGTCATATCTGCTGATTATATGCCCAGTTATACATCATTTATATATTATGCAGAGACCCCCCAAAGTTTATTTACTGGTCATTATCATGTTATCCTCTAAAATTGCTTACAGTCTTCCAGATCAAAAGCCAGATGCAGACCAACCTTAAGAAATACTCCTACACAGGAAAATGATTTGCAATCTGTTCCCTACAGATTTGTAATCTGATGTCCCATTTGAGCAACAACTTAGAAAGGGATTGACAAGCATGTAGGCAAACCTTTTCAGTAGGTCTATATATGGACCTTTTTTATTTGCCTTGATTCCCTTGCACTTCTTAAGAGCGCTGCAACAACAGTCTTGCATCTGAAAATAAATCAGCAGCACAGAACCACCTTTGCAGCTGAGAGCAACGCATGTGTGGTGAGGTGTTTAAAACCCCATGCTGAAGTGAAGGGGAAAGCTTCACTCAACTTTTGTGATGCTATTTGAGCTGTACAATTGTTTTTTATTAGGAAAGCAAGATATTACTATCATTAAAGGACATGAGGAGTCTGTATGTGCCCATAAAGCAGATTCTGAAGCCACCATAGTAGTTTCTTTTAAACTAATCCAATGAGAGAGTTATTGGTWAAACATTATTGCAGCTCACGGAACAAAATCTGAATCTTTAACATAACCCTGAAGTAATAGAAGGAGAAAGTATTCACTATAAAAGCATAATGATTTTCAAATTTCACTTCACAGATTAAATTGACAAAATGTAGACCACAAAATGATTTTTAATACATTGAGGTTTTGATCATTTATATAAGAGTTCAGTGGGCTTAACTTGTTACTATGCTACTTCTCTGCTCCAGAGACACAAGGAAATTATGAAYTTGGAGACCAGACTTGAAGATTTTTTGCCACAGTAACGCTCCAACTACACACAGAAGGCTTGAGTGAGCTACTGAGAAGACRGAGCTGATAAAAAGTACCTAGCAAGAAGTTACCAACTTATCTCTGCAGACTATTTCTGTAAGTAAACAAGCAAAAGCTTTACAGTTATTGGAAACACCTGTAAACAAACAGACCTTGTGTGTCTATAGATAAATCAGTAAAGTGATGAAGTAGATTTTTGGAGCTCTCCCAGATCATACATTGTACTGCTTGTGTAGATGTAAGTATTTCTGTAAGGCAGTGAAAGACCTTGGCCCCGCAGATTGAAGAAAGCTTATTTTCTCATGAGGGTACCGTGCCACTCTAGGATGGTCTGAGCCTTAGTCTCTGTTAATCTTAACTGGATTCGTATCACAGTTGAGTGTCAAAAGGCTAAATTGTCCTAGTGAACATTATTAGTCATCTAAAACTGGAGCTTCTTAACACTTTTTATGTATATATATCACTGATGGGATGTGAACCATGTTTAGCTAACAGAGCAGCTTCTTCCTGACATTTTGGTGATGATTATGAGAACTGAAGGTAGGGAAGAAGAGGGGTACTATTGCTCAGGTGGTTATTTTTGAGGAGTAAGCATCTGAAAGAATGAAGTGTTCCTTGTAAACAAAATACTGATCAGTAGTAATCACTTGTCCTTCCAACAGCTAAGTATCACTGTTCTGGTGGACTGTGCTTGGGATTCCAGGGAAGTGCTGCATCAGAGGATGTGGGGAAAAGAAACAAGGCACCCAGATTTGGGGTGTTTATTTTCATCCTGGCGGAAAGGAAGACAGGAGATTTTTGCCTTCAACCATTCAGCTTGAAAGGAGTTGTGTAATGAATGCAAAGTGAGTCAATTCTGCTAAGTTAGAAAAGAGTGCCGAGAGAGAGCTTGTCTGGGAGTTAAATTTGTGTGTGAGTTGTTCCTATGTAAGGGTTAAGAGGCAGTCTGTGTAGTCAGTGTGATGCAAATGTCACTGTTTTAAAAAATCAATTATCTGCAATCATAGGGCCTACTCTAGCAGTAACTTTGCAGTATGCAGAGCTTCTCCAGGCAGCACAGCTATTTTTATTAGTAATCTCCCCTCCTCCARC